GGATTAAACTCAGGCCCTTGCGCTTGCCGGGGAAGTGCTTATTCCACTGAGCCATCTCCCGGCCCCTTAATTCTCATTTTCTGTTGAGCTGATTCCCTAGAGCCCTGAAATGCAATTAGAAGTTACCTGCATCCCAGGCAGCCCTGCCTCGTTCATCCTATTGGTGCTTTAGCATTTGCTGTGCAAGCTCTGCAGCTCATCTGTGTCTCCTCCCCAACCCTGTCCCGTCCCTTGTGAAGCTCATTCTAATAAGTGATTTTGTGCGATAGGTGTTGACACTCCGGGGAGAAAGCAGGTACAGAAAAACACTGATTACCAATGACGGCACCAACCTCGGAGTTGGTTTTCCTGTCGGTGTTGCTGTTGACCCTGCACGCGGGTGAGTGTCCCTGAGCCCAGGATGGCACCTTTCTTGTTCAGATCACTGTCCCATTAGATGTCAAGTCAGAATATTTTCGGGTCTCCTGTGTCAGCATTTGAAAAGTATGGATCTCAGTGGGAAGAGGAATGGCATTTAGCAATATTTGATGTGAAAGGTAGAAGTTGCATTTTTTTTCTGGGTTCTGCATGTTAGTTGGGAGGGGTGGAACCAGGGCCCTGAGGAGAGGGTGGCTGACCACGTGGGAACTGCAGCAGCTGAAGGCACCTGGGGGTACCTGGGAGTCCTTAATGCCATGTCAGGGAGGAGAACTTTACTCTTTGGAGTATAAGGAGCCAGTAGGGAATTTTAAAGAAGGGAATGATAGAACCAAATCTGTAATTTAGAGAGATGGACCAGGCATGGAGCTGGGTGAGGCCAGGGGTAGGGAGTCCAGGAGAAAGAAAGTGGTCCTAGTGGGTAGATAGAGGCTTGAGTCCTTGGGTCAGTTTAATCAGTTATTCCTTTTGTTGCTCTCTAGAATAATAAATTGTAAAACACAAACATTGATTTTTTTAAATAAGAGATGATCATCTCATTCCAAGGAGATGCTGACTTTGTTTAAAAGGCATCCTATTCCCAGGCCTGGATGAGAACTGAAGAAGTAATTTGTATTGGTGCTGTGCTTCAAATAAAGGCAATGTGCCAACATCACCTTTGTGTATTTGTTAGTGTACTATTTTAAAGAAAATAGATTTGTCTTTCATGTGGGCAGTAGAGTGTGAACAGAAGACAGGAGGAAGCTACTCTGTGTATTCTCTCAGGGACCCACACTGGTGGGGGAATCATTGCCCTCAGCAGGACGAGGCTTTCTAGGCCATTCTGGACATCACCATCTTTTGAACAGTAAAGAACATTCAGGAATGAGCTGGGAGGTTCTTATGGGCCAGGCCTACAAGGATATCACATGTCTGCTTATATAATTTCAGCTAGAATCCCTTCCTCTAAACAGCTGATTGTTGGAAAGGGAATAAATGCTGCCCAGGTTTTTAAGCACAGAAAATAAGACGTTGATTTTGATGAGTGGGGTCTAGAGAACAGATAGAAAGATGATTCAAATAATTATCTTGTAACCTTGAGAATTTAGAGCTTAGTTAAGGAAAATGAGGCTTGTTATATATAAATACTAATGGGTGGTTTGGACTAGATCAATGCGGAGTTTCAGGAGGCAGAGCTAGTTTTGAAGCTAGTTAATTGACATGATAAATTGAAGCCAGGAGCAAAGGGGAAGAAAAGAGAGAGGGTGTTCAGGTGGCTAAGTACAGCCCAGCTGGGTTGGGAAGCAAGTAGGAAGGCTTTGACTTTTGTCAAAAGAGTTGGGAAAACAAACAGGATAGAGACTTTGTGGATATAAAAAAGTCTTGAGAAAATTGGGGTTAGAGTTACTGAATCAGTTGTTACCTAGCAGTATCTCTGTGGATGATCACTAATAAAAGAGTGAGGCAATTGTAGAGTGTTTGATGATGTATGAGGGAGGATGTTGACTGAGGTACTAAGGAGATAAAGTATGAAATGAAGGTTAAAGTTAGACTATTTTAAAAATAGTTTTGTATTAAAAATTAGGGAAGGATTAACTTCCAGGTCAAATGTAATGGGAAATTGTTATTATTATTTTGCATTTTAGGGTGGGGTCTACAGGGTGTTCAGGATCTTACTACTAGATTGGACTCATAGTGATCTACCTATTTACAGCCTCCCAAGAGCTGAGATTACACGTGTGCGCCACCACGTCCAGTCTCAATTGAAGTCTCAGTGTGCCCCAGGGGCAGGGGCGGCTCAGCAGGCCTGGGGATTGAACCCTGGCCCCTGCACCTGCTTGTAGGTGCTTTAATCCGCTGAGCTATTTGGCCAGCCCAGGAAATTATTTTTTGGGCTAAAGAAGCCTGAGCATATTTCTAGGAGAAGAAGAAAGTTAAATAATAAGGAAATACTTGATTGAGAGTGGGGGAAGAGTTCACAATTTATACAGAATAGGAACGACTTGAAAACCAACATGGGGAGCATGATACATAGTCCGCTAGGGATAAGAACCCTCAGCTAAGACCAGGTAGCAGAAATATGTACTGAACTCAGAAATCACAAGTTTTGTGCCATCTCCAAGTAAACTTTTAGGAGCCTGGTATAAAAGATGGAAGAGGAAAAATGGCCAAAACTCAAGAGTTAGCATGTTCGGCCAGGGCCATGCCGGTCGTCGCAGTACTCTGAGAGGCAGAAGCATGAGGGGCACAAGATTCAGCCCTGCCTGAGGAGCTTAGTTTAGTGAGACACTGTCTCAGACAATAAGTAGTAAGAAAAGGGCTAGGATACAGCTCAGTGTGAAGTTCTTGGGGTCAAGTTTCAGTCCCTAGTATGTCCATTATGTCCAAAACAAAACAAAAAACAAACTTCCCAAATAAAACAAAAACCCTACAGGAAGTGAGGCACAAAGAAATTAAAACTTGAATTCAAGTCTAGAATTTGTGGGGCTGGGGAGATAGTTTGGTGGCCTAAGCACCTGCCTGCCGAGTGCAAGGACCTGAGTTCAATGTCCAGTACTGCATGCCTTGGGAGGCTGAGACAGGAGGAGCACTACAAGTCTGAGCTGTATAGGGGTAAGAACTTATATCAAATAAAGAAGATTAAAAACCCCAAATTTTTAGAAATGAAGTGAAATAAAATAATGAACAATATCAAAATTAAAAAGCAAAAAAACAAAAATCTAGAAATTGCGTCATGGGTGGAAATGGAAAGCTGCCCTCCTGATATTTTAATGAATTTGCGTATCTCGTTGACTTGGTAATGCTGTGTGGTGCCCACAGGTCACGTGGATGCACATATGGAGTATAAGCCATTGGTATCATTAGGAAATAGAGTCTAAAAAGGCATATGTGCCCCCCGATAGCATTTTCTAATGGAGTTCATGCTGTCAGGAAAGCATTACTCATTAGTTCTTATTTTCTGCATTAATTCTTAAAATTTTTCATAACAAAAATCAGATTAGTTAAGAAATTAACTGATCTTTTGATAGATTGTGATTTGGAGACGAATTCAGCAAGAAGTCTGGTAAGTGAGTAGAAAGATAATTGGCCAACTTTATATTGCCTTTGGCCTTCCCAACGTACTGGATACTTTGAGATTCCTTGAAGAGAGATTAATAGCTGATGCAGGCTCTTTGATTGTTACTAGCTTCCCAGCTCTCTGTCCAGGCTGATGCTATAGCCCCCAGGGAGGGATCCTGCTCTCCTGTTTAAACCCCATTTTAAATGGTCTCTACCCCCTGATTTACTAGGACATGTGTAGATATTGGCAGGGCTCTAAATACATACTTCTGCATGCGACAAAATATTGATGTCTCAGACTCTTGCAGTGGATGGAGAGCACTGTGAGGACAGGAAACACTCATTCTCATTCAATATGTAAGCTGCACATGTGATTCCTCCTTCCGTTTTGTTAAACAATGGTGTTTCTTGTGGTTGTAGGAAACTGTACTGGTCAGACCAAGGAACAGACAGTGGGGTTCCTGCCAAGATTGCAAGCGCTAACATGGATGGCACATCTTTAAAAATTCTCTTCACTGGGAACCTGGAACACCTGGAGGTCGTCACCCTCGACATCCAGGAGCAGAAACTATACTGGGCAGTCACCAGCAGAGGAGTGGTATGGGCGGACACGCTCTGGGCCTCACTGTGCACGTTCAGTAGTTGTGTGTTCCGCATTCCCTGGCAGAAGTTCTTAAACAATAATATTGGGCAGCTTCTACCAGTGTTTCATTCTCCTTCCAGTAATTTTTCTTCCTTGAACAAGTCTTGGCCTAGTCGAAGTCCAGTTGTTTGTAGCACATGCACAGTTCCCTGTGGAATGGTTTTCATTAATTTTCCCCTTGACCTTTGTTTTTCATCAGCATAGAGTAATTACATTTGCCGTTACTTACTTGGCCTTTCAGAGACATTTATTTCCTGTTTCAGTTATTTCAATGCTTTTCTTCTTTGTAAATATTCTAGATATTCCAGTTGAAGAGTAGATAGGCAGAGACAAGCCTGAGCAACCTTCCAGGCTCAGCCTCCTCTCATAGCTGTACATTTTTTTCCTGCGTCCAAATATAGTTAACACCTGTGAAATTTCCTTTACTGGGAATTTTAAACTCTATGATTGAGTTATTATATTCTGCAATAAGAAGCAGAAACTAAAGTTTTACTGAAATAGTACCTATTTGTGATCTTTACTGCTATCTTATACAACTGAGCCAGGGCACATAGGAAGTACTTAATAATCATTACAATTAGTTAACTATTCCTTTGAATTTTGCATTAAATAGCAATAGCAGATCTTTGACACTGAAGCTGTGCATAATCCTGTGTTGTAGGTTTGGCTTTCAATTCATTATCTGTTCAACAAATACTAATTTTATTCCTCATATCGACTTAAAACAGTGATAAACTTTGAGGATTAAAAACAAATAGTGATGTGTGTGAGAGCACTCTGCAGACATGGATGGGACGCAGTACAGGCCAGCACAGCCTATGCAGGGCCCCTCCTGCCCCAGCCTGCTGTGTACCTGCTCCGCCCTCCTGAGCCAGTCAGCTTGTTAGTGATGTTATTGTCCATCCTTTCTTGGGGCAAGTCCCCTCATTCTCAACTTCCCCACTGCGCCCAGCCTTTCCTGCCTCCCTTACCATTCTGAACAGTTCTGTCTGGCCTGTGCCCAGCTTTCATGTTCGAGGCATGCTGTCTCCATGATAGGTTGTCACCAAGTTTGACCACTGCCCAGCCCAGAGCCTGGGGCTGGAGCAACAGCTTCCATCATGGCAGCTGAGCTTGCTCAGCTGATCTGCATTGTCACTTGCTCTTTGGAGGCTTGTGCTCCCTGTGCTCTGGCCTTCTGGAACTTCTGTCAGTTTCTGGGGCATGATACCTCTGGACACTACTTGCTCCTTATCTATTAGGCAGTGACCCAGATCACATTTGTCTCTCTTGCTAATACCCAACTTAGAGCCTGGTGTGTAGAAAGTACTCCAGGGAAGTTTTTGGAATAAAATTAAACCAGCTACTTGTCATTTCTCCTTAGGAACTTCTTGAGAGTTCCTTTTTTTTTTTTTTTTGCAGAACTGGGGATTGAACTCAGACCCTTGTGCTTGCTAGGCAAGCACTTATTCTACTGAGCCATCTCCCTGGCCTCTTCTTTAGAGTTCTTTTCTGGTTTACCAAAACCATTCAACGGCTTGCCGCCTGTTCTAACAGTATCACTCTCCTTGGCTCCTGTCTGGCCTTGAGATTCCAGGATGTATGTTTCCTGTCCCTATTACAGAAATTGTCTGTGCAGACGTTAAAGCCTGGGTTGGAGAGCTCCAGCTCTCCATTTCAGGGTGTCCTTGAGCTCAGCCTCTTTTCCTCATTAAGCCACCAGAGAAAGCTGACTCGAGCAGACAAGATGTTGCTTGACCTCCTGCTTTGCCTAGTGAAACTAATGACACTTCTGATCCTCTAGATCGAGAGAGGAAACGTGGATGGTACGGAGCGGATGATCTTGGTGTACCATCTTTCCCATCCGTGGGGAATTGCTGTCCATGATTCCTTCCTTTATTATTCTGATGAACAGTATGAGGTTATTGAAAGAGTCGACAAGGCCTCTGGAGCCAACAAAGTGATCATGAGGGATAATGTTCCAAATCTGAGGGGCCTTCGCGTGTATCACAGACGGAGTAAGTACTTGTCACTCAAACACTCACTGATGCATGATGGGTGTTCACGTGTTTACACACTTATATCCATAAGCACTTTCCGTGCATCCCATTACCAAAAATACCTAAGAATGGATAACTGTGTGTTGAGAATGGTGCAGTGCCCAAGATTAACCTGGCATCTGAAAGGCCAGCTTGGCTTTATGGTGAACTTCCTCCCAGTCTCTTCCTTTCTCACTTGATTTTTGTTGCCAGTGGTAGGGATCTAACCTAAGCCTCAGACTCACAGGGCATTGAGTATCATTGAGCTGCATCCCTCGCCTTCTTTGCTGTCACTTTAAACTCTTTCTTTTTGCTGCATTGCCCTGCCTGACATGATCTACTTTTATTGTTTCTGTTTGTTAGAATATAAACTATATGCGCAGGTGTTTTATCTGTTTACTGCTCCATGCTCAGGAATAAGAATAGAGAATACAGTGGTACCTCATCTCACAAATTTTATTTGTTCTATGTACGATTCTGGAAAAAATGGCCACATTCGTGTTTGTGTGGGAAGGATGGCTGCAGCTGTGTTTGGCACCTGATGCAGAGTTCACAGGCAACATTTTGCCAGATGCTTCTGTTTGCAAACCAAATTGTTTGCAAATGAAAGCACTTGTGAACTGAGGTACCACTGTACTTGTTGGATGAGTGCTGGACGAAGAAATAACAGGATATAATTTTTAATCTTGAAAAGAATACTCATAGATGTTGTCTATTTTGGTGTACTTTTTTCAGAAATAATCCAGCTTTTCGTTTTTCTCTTAAAGTTATCACTGCAATGTGGAGATTTTTAAAATAATTTTGACATTCTGTAGTTTTTCAATCTAAACAAAGATCCTGAATTAGTTTCTGGTCTTACAACTTAGTTTTGTTGGTTGATATTTATTTTTCTTGCATGTGAAAAAACAACTTTTAAATATACTTACTTCACCTGTATAAAACAAATATCCATCTTACTGTTTTTTGTTTTTTGCGGAACTGGGGATTGAACTCAGTCCCTTGCGCTTGCCAGGGAAGCGCTTATTCTACTGAGCCATCTTCCATCTTATTGTTGATCATGTAATTAAACTAATAATAATGTTAAATGCCAATGTGTGGACCAAGAGCCTCCTTCCCAGTTGAGCAGACTTGCATCCCGTCTGTCTAATCCTTGCATGTTTTGTAGGAGAACAACTGATGCTCTCTGTTTTCTAACCATGACACAAATGTGTTACTCTTTTAAAACCTTTAGGTCTCTTGTTTAGGCTCCGGTCTCTCAATGTTGTTTCTAGGCTGTTAGTGTAACTTCTGGGTGTTTATTATTAATTTTTACAATGAATTACTTGGTGGCCCAACTTTAACTTTGGCTTGCAGTGGCAAGCAGGTAGGGCCAACTGTCACCAAACTAATTTTCTTTCCATTTAGATGTTGGCCAGTCCTCAAATGGCTGCAGCAACAACATGAATGCGTGTCAGCAGATCTGCCTGCCTGTGCCAGGAGGGCTGTTCTCCTGCGCCTGTGCCACTGGATTTAAACTCAATCCTGATCATCGGACCTGCTCTCCATATAAGTCTTTCATTGTTGTTTCGAAACTGTTTGCAATCAGAGGCTTTAGCCTGGAAGTGTCAGATCATTCGGAGGCCATGGTGCCAGTGGCTGGCGAAGGTATGCCAACTTGGAAATAAGTGAGACTTGACTCCATCTAGTGCCACATTGAGTCCTCGGGCCCATAAAAGCATTTCTTTATGTCTGGATCCAGCCCACAAGAAGTTTGTCTTTCTCTCTGAGTGTAACTGGCTCAGTCTAGGGTGATGCACAGACCTCAGTGAGCAGCAGATCCGTCTGGAGGGCTGTCAGATTAGGTGGAACCCTACCTTCACCTGTGCCTGTTGGTCTGGCAGGAACACCTTGTAGGTGGTGCTGTGAGTCCAACATGGAGCTCATTAGGAAGAATCAGCTCGACCTGTGCTTGTGACTCTTGTTTAACCTCCTGGTCAGGGCTGTCACCCCAAATCCCTGTTTTTGAAAGGTGTATTTGCCTCTTTTTAATTTCTATCAAATCTGTGGTGTTAGACTTTGACCCTTGGACTATCTTGCTGCTCTAGCACCTTTTACCCATCTAAGATCCTTGCTTGCAGTGTTACTGTCATTTTAAAAATATTCATCAATAATATTCTTCTATAGAAGGAAGTCTCTCCCAGTTTATTGTGTAAAAATTATCTTGGTGAAGCCATATTTTAATTTTTGAGAATTTAGTGTGTTCTGGTCGGTTACCATAGTAACGATACTCCAGTTGATCTATTTTGGTTATGGACAGCTCTTCAAGTGGCTCCCTATGTTTTTGTGACGTGGTCCCCATTAGTATGTGAGTGCGTCCTTGTTTCCTGGTGCAATAAAACATTTCAGGCTCACCTCAGGCCTTCCCTAGTGTTTCTCCAGGAGCCAGATCCTCTCATGTGGGAAACGGTATTTAGAAGCCAAGACGAGGGCTACAGGTGGCTCATTGCAACTGGTAGACAGTTTTTTCTCATAATGGAGGGCTTGCTTAGAGCAGGGAGCTGGGAATGAGAGGAAGGGAAGACATCGGCAACAGAAAATCCAATTTGAGTTAGAGCATTGTTTGATGGTCTTTTCTTATGTGTTCTAGGACGAAACATACTGCACGTGGATGTTGATGTAGCCTCTGGCTTTATTTACTGGTGTGATTTTAGCAGCTCTATTACCTCCTATAATGCAATCCGTAGAGTCAGACCTGATGGCTCTGGTTTTACAAGCATTGTTACCTCTGGGATAGGAAGAAATGGAATCCGGGGCATTGCAGTGGACTGGGTAGCAGGTATGTGAGCGCGGTAGTTTGACTGAGAAGACTTTGGTTTGCATCTCCACTATTTTATGTTATGGAGGAGAACTTAGCTTAATTATGTATAAGCAAGATTCGTTTTTTTCTAGACAATGGCTAAGATGATTTAAGGTAAGTTGAATCGTGTATTTAGACTAAGCTGTTTCTCTAGCAAATATTGTGTGTTTCAATCAATAAATTAATTGTAGATTAATTTTCTTCTGTTAACATCAAAATGCAGGTATAAATGGCTAGAAATATTAAAATTACATAATTTTGTGGTTTTCACACTTAGAGTCTCACTTCATAAGGTAAGTGCTTATTGCACACAGAAAATATAGTACTGTAGTGAAATAAGGTTTTTATTGGTTTCTAAAAATCCCATTCCTGATGATATTTCCTGTTTCTGAGAATATAGATAAAGCAAGGTCAGCACACTGCTGTTAGTTAGTGGGACAAGTATTTTTGTAAGTAAAGTAACAGCTCAGCCCAGTCATCTCTGTGGTCTGTGGCTGCTTTCACGTTACATGCGAAGGCGACCTTGTGCTGTGTATAGCCTAAAATATTTACTATCTGGATCTTTACAAAACAGTAAGACATTTTGGATCTTATTTACTTGTTCATTTTCTCACACTAGGTGAGACAGTAGGTTGTTTGCACATATGGATCTGATTTACTTCACACAATGTATCAATTGTTGTAACTGTCTTACTAGCCTGTTTTGAAACTCATCTTCATTATTTATCTTTTTTTTTTCACTAAAAAAATATGGCAATCCTGAATTAAAGGGTTAGAGATGAGCACACACACACACACACACACACACACACACAATTTCAAGTAGAAATAGGTGACAATACTATACCAGTAACATATTTTACATTGTTCTTATTGGCCTGATTTCTCTGGAGGTGTTTTGAGTTACACATAGGAATAAACTGTGTCTTGGTAACAAGACTGCTAGTTCAGCAGCAGACTTCCAGTTACATAGAATCAATAATTTGGGGCCACTCTGTGTTCATCAAATTGCTTTCATATGAATATGACTGTTGTTTTTATTCTAACGTTTACATTGTGGTATTAATATACAGAGAGAGGTAGATGTTGGACTTGGTAAATTCATGGGGTGAAAACACCTGCTTTAGATAGACTAGAAGAAGTCCTGACATTAATCTTAGAAGAGCATTCAACTATAGCAGCACAGCCCGAGAAGCCGTTTTCTATCCATGTTTCCTCTGGTCATGTTGGAGTAGAAGTTACATCACGGTATGTCTTTGAAGTGAGTATAAAACATTCATATTTCCAATAGAAAGACACTCTGGAAAATACACCTTGTAGTAGAAAGCTGTCTATGACACTTACAGTGAACTCTAGTCTGCCTTGCAAACTGAAGATGAGCACCTTCTCTCTAACTCTGGAGAATCGTTTTACATTTTTAAGCCTACACTGAGATTTATTATCTTTGAAAAGATATCCCATACTGATGCTGACCTCAACCTAACCTGTTTTGTTGTGAAAGTGAAAAGCTGACTGCTTTCTTTTTTCTTCTTGGTTTCCTACTCATCAACAACTTTTTTTTTTTCCTGTAGGGAATCTTTATTTCACTAATGGCTTTGTGGCTGAAACACTGATAGAAGTTCATCGCATCAATACCACTTACCGCCGTGTTCTCCTTAAAACCACTGTGGATATGCCCAGGCATATTGTTGTAGACCCCAAGAACAGATACCTTTTCTGGGCTGACTATGGGCAGAAACCAAAGATTGAGCGTTCTTTTCTTGACTGTACCAACCGAACTGTACTTGTCTCAGAGGGCATTGTCACCCCCCGGGGCTTGGCAGTGGACCACAGCAGTGACTATATTTATTGGGTTGATGATTCTTTAGATATAATTGCAAGGATCCATCTTAATGGAGGGGAATCTGAAATGGTTCGTTATGGCAGCCATTACCCGACTCCCTATGGCATCACAGTTTTTGGAAATTCTATCATATGGGTAGATAGAAATTTGAAAAAAATCTTCCAAGCTAGCAAGGAACCAAACAATTCAGATGAGCCAACAGTGATACGAGACAATATCTCCTGGCTAAGAGATGTGACCATCTTCGATGAGCGTGTCCAGCCCCGGTCACCAGCAGAGGTCAGCAACAATCCTTGCTTGGAAAATAATGGTGGATGCTCTCATTTCTGCTTTGCTTTGCCCACACAGCACACCTCAAAATGTGGCTGTGCTTTTGGGACCCTGCAGAGCGATGGCAAGAGCTGTGCCATTTCAACAGAAAATTTCCTTGTTTATGCCGCTGAGAATACCTTGAGGAGCTTACACTTTGACCTTGAAGACCATAGCCCACCTTTCCAAGCAATAACTATGGAAAAACCAGCCACTGCCCTGGAGTACGATAGTGTGAATAATAGAATCTACTTCACTCAAGCTTTAGGCTCTGGACGTGGCCAGATTTCCTACATCAGCCTGTATTCAGGGACTCATTCTCCAACTGTCATCGTTTCAGGTAAGTGACTCAAAGTGGTGTTTGGTTTGGAAGTAACTACAGTGGGTCCACACATGTCAGTGACTCAAGTGTTCTTAAAGTGTATTGAAGCTCTAACATCTGTGTATGTTTGTGTGTGTCTTCCGGGGTATGTACAGATATAGGGACTTCTGATGGAATTGCCTTTGACTGGATCAACAGAAGAATTTATTACAGTGACTATGTCAATGAGACGATTAATTCCATGGCTGAAGATGGATCCTTGTGCACTGTGGTAGCTCGTGTTTCAAAACCAAAATCCATTGTTTTAGATCCTTGTCATGGGTATGTTATGGTCTTTTTAATTGTAATTTTTTTTTTTTTTTTGAAGTCTAGGTAGAATTTATTGTCAAGTAGGTAGGGGGTTATGCATTTCCATGAGAAGGTCAGCTGGACGCATTCTTATGTACTCAAGAGCTACTGTTGGAGTCCAGGGAACTGGGGTGACAATGATGCTGCTGCTTGATGCTGCTGCTGTTGCTTATGCAGAAGTCATGGCTGGGCCAGATGTGGTGGCACTTGCCTGTAATCCTAGCACTGGGGAGGTAAATCATAATCCAGATAAAACTGGCTACAGTATTTGAGGAAGAGCTCCATGGTACAAATAAACTCTTTCCTGAAACTGGGCTGCAGAGAGACTTACTCATTCCGGACCTCACTGGCATGTGCCAGCAGCTTTTCCCAAGCATGGTCCACTTTGTCCATCTCTTCCTTTGATGTCAGAAGTCTGTATTTGTTAAGCAGGGCACAAGATTCCCAACCCTTGCCATTGTCATTGGAGCTTTAACTGTAATTTTATCTGCTTATTTGTAGAAGGTATAAGCCCAGAAATTATATCATGTGCCTAGAGCACTGTGGATATAGATGTAAGAGTGGAAGAGTGGGTGTTTATTTGTTTTGGTTTTGGACCTGTTAGGAGAATGCAGTGCTTAACTCGCTATGATAGAGAAGCTGGTAGCATACTAGGAACCGGTGTTCTCACTCAGTAAATCTGTTTACAACAACTTGTGTGCGTAGGAAGAGTAGGTTTAGTCCTCATATTAACAGCAATTTGCAATTAAAGAAAGCTGTCACTTTCACATGGAAAGGACAATGAGGTTTCCTGGAGTGAATTATGACTTCTTTTGCATTACTAGGTACATGTACTGGAGTAACTGGGACAGTCCTGCTCAAATTGAGAAAGCCACGCTGGGAGGAAACTTCCGCATCTCCATTGTGAACACCAGCCTGGTTTGGCCCAGTGGGCTCACTCTGGACTATGAGTTAGACCTTCTGTACTGGGTGGACAGTAGTTTGTATGTATCTTTAGTCGTTCATGTAGGTGGTTACTACCTGTAGCTGTAGAGAATAAGAGATCTTCCTCCTATTACCAAAGCAGAGGGATTTGCTTTATGTGCCAGAAAGACATTGCTAAAATGTAGATTTGTAATTTTAGGAACTGTATTATATTCTAGCTGAGTGAATGTACCTGTGAAATATTTTCTATATCATGAAATTGAATAGTTATGAACTATAGACATCTGAAGATACATCACTGAATTTATCTATAATTGTGACTGTCAGGTGACTCATAAATATGAATAACTTTAATGCACACTGACATTGTGGGCAGGGGAAGGAAGCTGTATCATTCAGTGTCCTTTATTTTTTTATTTTTTATTTTTTTCCATAATTTTATTGAGAAACAATTAGCAAAAAATGGCAGAAGGATTTTTTTTTTTTTTTTTTTTCTCCGAATGCCTTCAGGGCAGGTTTGGCTGGCTTGAGTTGTGGGGATCTAACCACAGCAACCTGAGCCTGACTGCTTTGTTGAAGCAGCCACTTAAAGAACTGAGCTAAGGGGCACCCCCCGCCCAGTGTCTTTTAAAATGTAATTTTCTTAGCCTTTTATCTTCTTAAATGGATTCTTTTACTTTGGCATATTTCTCAGCAAATTTTATATTTTCCTTATAAACTTATTGACTCTCAACTTTATATGTAACTTCCTCAAGTGACCCCCAAATCTCTTATATTGTAGTCATCCTAATGTAATAGTCAAAGGGAAGAAATGATTTCATTTATCATAATTTGCACCTGCATGTCAGGAATCATAACTTTTCTTGTTTATTTCCTTATGATTTTGGTCTTGGTGAGGCCAAACACCAAAATCCTGATTTTTTTTTTTTCTTCTTTATTTTCTTATTTGAAATGCAACAGCAGTGTTTTGTGTCTAATTTTGGTTCATGCTAGGTAAATACCTAGTAAAAGTAATAAATGTTAAATTGAAAAAGGTATTAAGGGCATGAGATGGGCAGATGATAAACACTCCATGTTGCTTGCTCCACATGGTTCCCATGTGTGACATGAACCTGGTTTCTCCTGTCAGCCAGCTCCCTTTTTAATTTGGAAATTGTTTGTTAAGCAAATAAGAGCTCACACTAACAAGTGATACAGTTTTTCCTCCCGTACACCCCAGCCAAAGACAGCTGGGTTCTGGTGTAAATGAACAAGTGAGCCTGAAAGCTGTTCTTGTTGGATTTCAGCCATTGTTTTAAACTTCATTTCAGGCAGAAGATTGAACGCACCACGCTCACGGGCATGTACCGTGAGGTCATCGTCAGCTCAGCTCCTCATTCTTTTGGCTTGACACTCTATGGCCAGTTTATTTACTGGACTGGCTTCTTGTCCAAAAAAGTTTACCGAGCTAATAAATATGATGGGTCAGGCCAGATGGCAATGACTACCACTTTGCCTGTCCACCCGAAGGGTATCTGCGTGGCTAAGAAGGACCAGAGCCAGCAGTGCAGCAACCCTTGTGATCAGTTCAACGGGGGCTGCAGCCATATCTGTGTGCCAGGTAAGGCCCTGCCATGAAGGTGGAAGAACCAGTAATAATAATAATAATAGCAGTTTTTGAGGTGGGGATTCAAGAGATATTCATTGCCATCCAGAAGGAAAGCCAAATTCACCTGGATTTCAGGGTAATTTGTAAAATAGATTTAGAGTTATATTTTATAATGAAAGAGTGTCAGATTTTTTTCTCTAGTCTGTGTAGAGTCCTCCTAGGAAGAACCTTTTTTTTTTTTTCTGGTAGAGGAATAAAAACTCAGAATCTCAGGCTGGGGAGATAGCTCAGTGGCATAAGCGCCTGCCTGGCCTGAGTTCAATCCCTCAGTCCCTGGTACCAGGAAAAAAAAAACAAACCATAAATAAATAAACTCAGCATCTCACTCTTGCCAGGCATGCTCTGTGACACTGAGGTATATTGCCATACTCAGGAAGGTATTTTAAATACATGTTTGGTGGAGGTAGAATATACAAGAGGAGACTTTTTCTGGCCTATTTTATAACTTGCCACAGGAATTAAAGCTCACCTACCTTACACAACGATTTAATTCTTCAGCTTGGGAGGTATTGTTTATAGTTGGAAATATTTCTAGTGATTATGTGAGATATAATGTATTTTATGGAGAGCAAAGGCATAGGAATCATGTGCCTTTTGATACCATTGTTTGCAAATTTTGCCAAGAAGAATCAGTGATATGTGGTAGTTCATTAAAAATTGATGTGTATTAGCACATTAATTAGAAATTGGTCTTTTTTTCTTCTTAATGAAAGTACAACTCAAAATATAGCTGAAAGCCTGTTGGGCTTGCAGTGTTTCATGTAGAAGCTGCTGTGAATACTGTTTTACTCTGTTACTCTCTGGCTCCAGGACCAAATGGAGCTGAGTGCCTTTGTCCACATGAGGGGACGTGGTATCTGGCCAATAATAACAAGTTCTGCGTCCAGGACACTGGTGCCCGGTGTGCACACTCCATGTTCACCTGCCTCAATGGCCACTGCATCGAGGAGGACTGGATATGTGATCGTGACAACGACTGTGGTGATGGCAGCGAGGAGCTGGAGGTTGTCTGTGGTGAGTCGGCCTCTTGGTGATTTTGCCAACAAGGAGAATGTGCTGTCTTCAGCTGAGTGTTTGGTATAGAACCCTGCTGTGTGCGAGTGGGTCTGAGATCTGTCCCCATGGGCCTGTTAGTGCTGAAAGACTTACTGTGATAACCTGGACTGCATTCCTGTTGAAACGCCTTGGGAGTAGTTATACGCAAAAAACATGATTCATATCCTGGTTATGCTGATTACACTCTGTATAGACTTGGAGAAGCTAGTTGGCCCTGGACAGCTTGTCTGTAAAATGGAGCGATTACTGGGGTTTTCCCGAGTAATAGTGAAAGAGACATATTTTAGAAGCACTTAGCATATGGAGCGATGGGCAGTAAGTGCTAAGCATGTTTAGCATAGGACAAAGGGGTGCAACAGGTCATCATTAGCATTTTACTGGTCTTCAGAGCAGAGGGTCATTAATGCAGTAATTATACGGAGATCAGTGCCAGTCCCTAGCTTCCATGTGGATGGAAACAGTGGGCCTTGAAATTGTTTGCCCCAAATAAGCTGCATGAGCATGCCTCCCTGTGGTTGAGATGAATTTTTTTTTCAAAATTTTATTGATAAACAGATAGCAATGAGACAGTTTCAAATCAAATCGGAAGTACAGATTCAACAAATAACACACTGCATATATTCTTTTTAGTGGTTAATTGCTGTACAAGATGCAGACTTGAGATCCTATTTACAAAC